CTTTCCAGGTTCAGGAGGGCGCATGGGCCAAGCGGGAAGGGGAAGGAGGCCTTTGCTGTGCAAACAGGCCCCTTGCTGGCGCGAACGGGTTGGCTCTCTGCTTCCCTTGCCCGGTTCTTCCTTCCCCTCCCCTTCCTCCTTCCCGCGTGCCAACGTTGCCCTCCCTTGACTTGGTTTCGTTCCCCTGCCCGCCTTCTTCGCCTTCCTTTTCCCACTTCCCCTCTCTTGTGTCTCCAGGCACGTTGTCCCGCAATCTGGGGTCAATCTGGGATCGGTTTGGGGGACCTCAGTACCCCCTTGCTGGGGTAACTCTGGGTTGATGGCTTTCGGTAAGGCTGGAAATCAGGTTTGTGTTTCCACAAACCCAGTGCCTCCTGCCAGCAGTTTTGAAATCTCTGTGCCATCCTAGTTGGGAGCATGGGCATTGCAGTCATTTCTGTAGCCCTCCCCTCCCAGCTCGCTGCTTCTCCTTCAGCATCTGGCCTGAGCCTGCTTTAAATGCCAGGCAGCCAGATAGGCCAGCTTGCTGCTCTCCGGGTGGGGAGGGGGCTCTTGACAGCCCCCTCCCCACACAAAGAGATGCAGCCACTACTTCAGTAGAGCAAAAGGCAGCTGCCCCATGGCCAAATACGCTCAAGGGGGCATGGCAAGGGCACCCCCCTTTCCACTTAGAAGAAAAGGAGGCCAATGTCTTGGTTGAGCAGGCTACCCCAAGCCAGCTCTGCACCAAAGCCAATCTTCCCCAGCATGTGGGCTGTGGAGGATGGACACTGTACCCCAGGGTCAGCGTAGAAAGCAGGGGCCTGGAGCAATGGCACCTTTGGGACCACCTTCGAGTTTCCGTTCCTTGCTTCGGAGAACACAGAGCTCGACTTTCACAGGCTGGGAGCTGTTCATTACAACCCCAATCCGGTTAAAACAACCTGGCTTTTTCAAAAAGAAAAGGGGGGGGGATTCCCAATGCAAAAGGCAGTCGGGGGCCAGATCTGGCTGGGTTGCCATCTGAGGCCAGGACAAAATGCTTTGGGCGGCCTTAAGGGCCGGGTCTGTGGGTGAGTTTAATTCTGCAAATCCAGTGTTGCTTTATTGGGGAGGAAGCCCTAATGGGCCTGAGAAAACATGCACAGATTAAAATATTCCCTCCCTCCCTTCCAGGTCTACATAACTACCCCCCCACCCGGGGTTTTCATGCCCTGATATTTGGGGAATGAACAAACGAGGCTCGAGGTCCACAGATTTTACTTGTGGGTCAGCAGGCCCCCAGAAGAGAATCTAGGTTATCCAAAGGCAGATCCAGGGCAAGGAACTTTTAACTGGGAAGATTTCTGGACTCTGAAAGGATCTGGAAGCCGGGGAGGAGCGGGAATTAAATCTGCAAGTAAGAATTGAAAAGCAGGCAGATCCCTTTCAACCCCCAGATTCTCTCAAGGGTGAAGATGCTCCTGGGGTTGGGGGAAGGAATGGTTCGGAAGGCAGGAAGTCTGAAAATTTGGGCTGGGGTAGCCCCAGCTGGAGGGGGGAGACTGGAGAAAAAGTGGGCTTACTCACGAGAAGGCTCCCCCTGCTGTGCAGACTGAGCCCACCTCCCACCCCCAAATGTGCATGGTGGGGAGAGGCCAGGCCAAAGGGAGGCCCCGCGATTCTGCAATTTCTTCGGCTTTCTTCTGAGCTTCTGGCTGGACGCTGGTTACTTTTCAAGACCCCCATGGGGGGGGCTTTCAGGATGCCCCCCCCTCACACACACACACACACCGCTCATGGTTCTTCTGTAAAACTGGGCGAAGCATCCCTTTTTTGTTGCTGGCCAGGCCCTTGGAAACCTTTTGATGCATCTGGCTGGAGGCGAGCAGAGCGCCTCTTTCCAATGGCTTTGGAGGTGCTTGGAAACAGCCTTTCCTCTTGAGAGAGCAAAAAAAGAAAAAAGAAAAAATCCGAAAAGGCGGGTGGTGGCATTACTGTAATATAATTATTATTATTATTA